AAAAAAGAAAAAATACTGAGAAGTAAACAAGCATAAGAGGTAGAACAAGTAGAGGCTAAGAGTGTGAGCTTTGATGCCAGAATGCCTAGATTCAAATGCAGGTCACTCACCACTTCTGTAGCCTTGAGAGAGATATTTAAGTCTCAGCCTTTCATCTATAAAATGGGGTAATAATATCTTTCTCAAAGTTTCAGTTTTTAAAATACACTTAAAGCTCTACACAAATACTGATTCTTCTCATTTTTTTAAAAAGTGACCTGAACATCCTTTCCTGTTCTTTGTCTTGTCACTGAGCTTTAAGATGAACTTCAAATTTAATCAAAACATAAACCACTTTTGTGCTCACTTCAGCAGCACATACACTAAAATATAAACCACTTTTTCTGCATATAGTTTCCAATGAACCCTAAAGGGCTTCAAGAGGCCACTAGGGGAATGTGAAGTCCTTTGAAGTTGTATTTGCCATTTAGCCTAAAAATTAACACAGTTACAAGCCAGATAGACTAAACAAATCTCTGTCACTCTCTGACGAATAGTCTCTCTGTCGAATAAATAAATAAAATCTTTACAAATCTTAAAAAAAAAAAGAGTAGAAATAGAAACCACTCTTGAAGAGTTCTGCTGTACATAGAGCAGTGAAAGATGACAGTAAAAGAGGAAATGTGGGGCCAAAGGGGTTTGTCATTTGTTTTTTCAACAAAATAAATTCAGCCCATTTGTATCCTGTTGGGAATGATCCAGTGGAGAAGGGAAACAGTGCAAGAGAGGACAAATGCTGGAGTGATGTCCTTGGTAGATAGAGTAGTTAGGATCTATCATATAAGTGGAGGAGTCACCTTAGATAATAACATGCAGAAGAACAGGAGGGAAGGGAGAGGATGTGCAAAGATGCAGGCAGGTGGGTAGCTTTCTTGGTAGAAATGTGGAAATCTGATAGCTTCTCTTTTCTCTTTGAAAGTAAGCTCATTAGCTGTTAATGAGATGGGGAGAAGGGTGATGGAGATTTGAGGACAGTGGTAAGTATGAAAGAATCATCTAAACAAATGTACCCAGAGTTGCCACTTGTGCATCTATTTCTTTTATAATATGAAAAAGTAATAAATTGGGCGCTGGGGTGGCTCAGTCGGTTAAGCGTCTACCTTCAGCTCAGGTCATGATCCCAGGGCCCTGGGGTCGAGTCCCACATCGGGCTCCCTGCTCAGCAGGAAGTCTGCTTCTCTCTCTCCCTCTGCCTGCTGCTCCCCCTGCTTGTGCTCTCTCTCTCAAATAAATAAATAAAATCTTTAAAAAAGTAATAAATTTATTTTAGAACACCTTTAATATTGCCCTATTGGCTTCAGGATCAATACAAACTCATTAGCATCATATCAAAGACTATTCTTCATTTGTCTTCTTCATAAACCTTAATCTCATCTCCTGTCATATTCTCAGGACAATCTATATTCCATCTTTATCAATTACATAAGAGTTCTCCTCAAATGGCATTATGTTTAATGCTCCCTGTGACAGACTGTATTTTCCAAAGATGACTGAAATAATATATCCCATCCCCTATATTCTTCTGTACTGTGAACTTGGTAAGTAGAGTTTCCTTCTGCATCCCCTTGAAACTGTGACTGTTTTGACCAATAGAATATAGTGGAATTGACATTGTACCAGTTCTGGGAGTATTTTGGAATGCTTGCTGTTGGGATACATCTTCTTGGAACCCAGGCACCATGCTATGAGAAGCAAAAGCTACAAGAGCCGTGAGTAGGTATTTCTGATAGGCAGTGCCCCGCTGGGCTCCCAGCCAACAGCCAGTATCAGACGCTGGCCATGTGAGTGAGTCATCTGGGAATGTCCAGCCCAGATGAACCTTCAGATAACTGAGCTCCAGACACCTGACTGTAATCACATGAGACCCCAATTACTAACTTCCCAGGTGAACCGTCAATCCACAAAATTGTGAGATAATTTGCTAATTCAAGCCCCTAAGTTATTAGGTGGTTTGCTATGCAGCAATAAATAACCAGAACTGTTCAATGCTGATGTGGTAGATAGCAGTTGTCATAGCAATAGTGGTACTGGTGGATAGATGATCTAGGAAGAAATGATATGCTATATAATCTTAGCAAGTTATTTAAATTCCTAAATTCCATTTTTCCATAAATGGGGTTAATTATAAGCACCTCACCTGACATAGTTCCTGGCTTTAGTTAAAGAAGGGGTATATGTTTCTGACCCCTTCACCTTACGGTTTAGCTTTGGCCCACGGAGGAAATAACTTTCTTGTCCATCATTTTACCTTTTCTTTTTATACGCACATACCAGCTCCTCCCCATGAGAAGATTTAGTGATAATACGATTTGTTGGGCTTACGTTTTACTAATGGGCATGGTTATTGAATTTCATGTGTATCTGTGAGTGTGACCTGCATATCTGTGCATGTGACCTGTTTTGTAACTGGATAGATGAGAAAATTCCAGCTAGCCTTGCCAGTTCAACTACTTGGTAAGTGCATTCACAATCTCCCCCCACAAAGCCAGTTATATATATCCCAGATATAGACTGGAGACATAGGAAGCTACTTCAGCCTTAGGACAAAGTAGTATTCTCCAATCAAGCTTTAAAGGAGCCTTGGGTACTTTAGAAAAGTAGCATTTTATTTATCATATGGTTACTAATTCTGTTTGTTCATGGCTTCCCCAATAGAAGAAAAGAAAAGTATAAATGGGTTTAAGAACCAAAGTCCAGGGATACCTGGGTGGCTCAGTTGGTTAAGCCTCTGCCTTTAGTTCAGGTCATGATCCCGGGGCCCTGGGATGGAGCCTCACATCCAACTCCCTGCTCAGTGGGTAGCCTGCTTCTCCCTCTCCTCCCCACTCGTGCTCTCTTTGCTATCTCTTTCTCTCTCAAATAAATAAAATCTCAAAAAAAAAAAAAAAAGAACCAAAGTCTACCCCCTTAACCCTAAGAAACTCCTATTGTTCTTTAGCATTCAGTTCAAGCACTGCCTCCTCTGGAAAGGCCATCTTTATGTCTTCATCCAAGTTATATTAGGTTCCCTTAACAGAGTTTCCATTTCTCCTACATCTCTTCTAATATTTACATTTTTGTTTGATACTTTGTCCCAACAGTCAGTGAACCTCTTCAGAGCAGGGAAAAGTCTTCCATTCAAAGTGTTGACATATGACAGGGTCTCAGTATTTGTGGAATGAATTAATATCTTCTATACATTACAACTTTTAAGGATATATGGGTATGTGGGCCTACGGGTGTGTGTGTGTGTGTGTGCATGTGCACAACACTCACCGCGCACCATCCGTCCCCACCCCGCCCTGCCATTCTTCCAACACAAATAGCCAAAACCTAGATAAAGATTTTAAAGTTATAGCCAAATCCAGAAGTTAAGATATAAGGGGTATTACTTGAGTTAAATGGAAAACTTGTGGCATTTTATTATTTACCAAAAACAATAATGTATTGATGTCATGTAATAAAGGTTTTGCTGATTGATGAACATTTTGGACTTGTAAGCAGATAATTATGCAGTAACATATTTGACACTGAAATATTAGTTTTAACAGCCTCTATAATAAATTATTATTAATGCTGCCAAAAAACAGTACTGAGACCTTGGTACTATTATTTCCTATGTATAATTTAATGCACTATAGGTATCTTGGCAAAATAAACAATAATTATACAAGAGTCACATATAAAAATATTTACTTATATACCTTCATCATCAGAATTGAGTTTGGCTTCCAGTTCCGCTATCTTGCATCTTATTTCAAGCATTGATAGTTGCACTATATCCCTATTATTAAAAATATCTTGTTAATTATGATCCAATTATAATATGAAAATAATAATACATAATAACACACTACTACTTTAGGAACAATTTATTATAAAACATCACTTAATTGAAGGCATGGTTGAGAATCAGAAATCAGGCAAATGGAGGCTTCTGATTACCAAGGTCCATTATATGCACTAAAGCTCCCGGTGACCATTAGAAACCCTTTACTCTTACTTAAATATGATCCCAAGAAGTTGTTATCTGGTTTCTCAAAGCCCAGCAAATTAACTGGGATGAGAGAAAGGAATAGCTAGGGCAACAGGTAACTGAAAACCTGAAACAAACAGGAAAAAAGAAACACTAATTAAAAAAAAATACACAGAGATTATCTATTTAGGACATCAGTAAATTAGCACATTAATTATCAAAATATGTCAGAATCATTTATGTAATATGTATCTTTGATTGCCTATTATGTCAAAGCTTCGTGCTAAATGCTGAAAATACTACAGTGAATAAATGAACTGAACAATGACAATAGCAGCGGCTAACTTCCATCGAGTGCTTATTATAAGCCGATGTTAAGTGCTTTACGTACTTTTCACTCAATCCTGGCGACAACCACACGAGGTGTAATGATTTGTACACCAATCTTAGAGTTGAGAAAACTGAAACTTAGTGGTTCATTAACTTGCCCAAGATCATGTAGTTACTGAGTGATAAGAGCTGTGATTTGAATTTATGCAGGATTCCTCTAAAGTGCTTGCTTTTATACTCTGACTCAGGCAACACAACTGCTTCCCAGAATGCTTACAGTTTAATATCAGACCAAGAAATAGCCAAGCAATTAAAAAAGTGTTGTTAGAGCTACTATAGAGGCAAGCACAGGAAGCTTTAGGGACACAGAGGTGAGTCTAACTCTCATGGGGCCTGCTGGTGGGACGGGGGGTATTAAAAAAAATACTTAAAATGTTTTAAAGATTTAATACAAAGTATGATATTGAGTATTTGTAAAAGTATATAGGAGGGGCATTATTTTTACAAAATGTCACCATTTCTTAATTTCTTCTAAAGCGACGAAAGACAAGCATAACTAAACAAAACCTTTGTTTCTCTGAAACAGAAAAGCTCAATTTAGTGGAACGTGAAAATCAAACACATATTTTAGCATTACAGCATACGCACACAATACACTCCATTTGATTTGATCCTAAAGACAGAAAAATCCTACCTCAAAATCTGCCTATTTTTAATACCAAACGCTTAATCAAAGAGGCAAATGAATCTTTCCTATAAAATAGTTTTTAGATGTCGCCAGGTCTGCCCGGGTATTAATCAGACTGCTGGCGTCACATCGACCTCAGTGGCTTCAGCTCTCAACAGCAGGGCACACACCGGTGCATCTCCTCTGGCGGCTTGTACCTGAACCCGCCACCCGCGCCGCAGTCCGCGCGCCGCCCTCCAACTCACTTCAAATGGATTTCCTCCAGTGACTCCATTTTCAGGCGGTCGGTGCTCACGCCGTCGAAGTTGTCGCCTCTTCCTTCCTCCGTACTGTCGGATCAGAAACGCCTCACGCCCTTCCCCTCTCACAGCTAAGACCACAACACCTGCAGGGACACCCAGAAGCTGGGAAGGCGAGCACTGTCAGGAGCTGTAGTCATGATGTACTGACTCACAGTGGCCCGCTCCCCGGCACCTCGTGGTGACGTCACAGGGCATCGCCCCGGGAGCGGAGGATGGCTTACCGAGGCAGTGCGGGAGCAGAACACAGGCAGCGGCGCCGCGGAGTGTAGCTACGGAAAGAGGTCTTCAATGTCCTGGAAACACGTTGTCAGAAAAGCGCCTCTCAAGGCCCAAAAGCTGAGGCTCCATTCCTTTTCCCAAACTGGTGGAAGGGGGATGTGTACCAGCTAGCTACGTTGCTGACTGTAAGGGAGTAGAGAACTGTTGGCCCTGGTGCTTTTTTTAAACACTGACCCAGGCCTGATGTTCACTTTACTCCTAGCCCTTGTTAGGAAAATGCTGAATCCAAGAATGGCTGTGCCTTTCTTTGCTTCAGTTTACTGGATACTACAGGCTCTGGTTAGGAGTGTCTGAGGAGCAGACCTTGAGAAGGCAGGGCCTGAACTCTGACTCTGAGTTTCCAGTACACATTATTCTTTGTTTTGCCAAATCTGGGGACTGTCCATGGACATAGTTCAAAGCTGCTTTCAACAGCTTGAAGTTTCACGCTTGTATTTGTAATCACAAATTTTGCATTCTGCTCCTGATATGTTTGTGCTTTAGTATTATCCCTGGCTCCCATCCATCTTTGAGTAGAAAGATGGGCTGCATTTACCTCTGACTTCTCTGGTACATTTTCCATATCCTGAATCAGTTTGAGACGTGTGAGCATGGGACCATGTTTTCTGACACAAATCAGCACAAGTATTCTGGTAAAGAATTTTATTCTGCTTATTGCTTCATCTTTAGTGTTGAGAAGAGTGACCCTTGGTAGTGGTCAGTAAATACATATGCCCATAGGATACTCTTTCAAAGATTTTTTTTTTTAAGCATAAAAAGCATACTTGATAAATGCTTGTTTCATTTGGTTGCTGCTTACCAACATATTTTTGGAAACTGGATAATTTATGGGAAAAATAGAAAAAACTTTTGGACCTATGGTTGCTACACTTGTTTGTACAAAATGGTAGAATAGTTCACTGGGTACATGATGGAACTAAGGCAAGTCTGCAATTAGAAAGTGGGTTTTAAAGGAGAGAAGGGAGGGTGCCTGGATGGCTCAGTTGTTACGCGTCTGCCTTAGGCTCAGGTCATGATCCCAGGGTCCTGGGATCAAGCCTTGCTTCGGGCTCCCTGATTGGTGGGAAGCCTGCTTCTCCCTCTCCCACTACCCCCTGCTTGTGTTCCCTCTCTCACTGTCTCCCTCTGTCAAATAAATTTAAAAAGAGAGAGAGAAGGGAGATTCCGGAAATTTGGAGACACTCTGTATTGGGAGATGTTTTAAGCATGGGGACAGTTTGGAATTTAATTGTTTGAATTGAACATAAGTGTAGTAAGTAGCACATTTGACTGATACTGTTTAGTGTCCAAAAGAACAACCCAGATCTCTTCAAAGAGAATTTGAAGCATTTTGAGAAATTAGTTCAATTAATAGCAATTTAGGGTTTAGTATATACAAAGTGATTTGTAAGAGATGCGAAATATGTTCACTGCTTTAAAAAAAAAAACCTATGGTTAATTTAAAAAGTTTAATATGAAAGAATTCCATCAATTAAGTCATGTGGTATGGCAAATCCTTTACTCCCACTTTTGTGCTCAGCCTGAGACAGGTTGTGGGGAGCAAGTTGCAGGTCTCCTCTCAACTACTCACCAGTGTCTATTCCCTGCCTTGCTGGCTTCCTTCGTTCTTCCCCAGACAGAATTCTTAGTTTTTGTCTGACATAGACTGAAGGGGTGGGGGTAGGAGTGAGCTGGGGATGGTGGAAGGATGGTTATGTATTCTTTCAAATCTTTATGATTTACACCTAAACAATAGCTTTTGAAATATCAAAAGCCAAGAATTGATGTTTTTGTTCTCTCATTTCTTTGTAGAACTCCCTGCTTCTTTGGGTCAGGAGGCTCAAGAATTCTCTCCACCTCTAATGCTACTTCCAGATCACTACTCTTCCATCCTCATGTAAAAACCCACTCCTCTGATATGCATGCCTTTTTAATTTAAAAAAAAATTTTAATTCCAGAATAGTTAACATAGTGTTATATTAGTTTCAGGGATATAGTGATTCAACAATTCTATGCATTACTCAGTGCTCATCAGGATAAGTGTACTCTTAATCCCCTTCACCTATTTCACCCATCCTCCCACCCACCTTCCCTCTGGCAACCATCAGTTTGTTCTTTATATTTAAGAAGCTGGTGGGTTTGTTTTGTTTTGGTTGGTCTTTTTTGTTCATTTGTTTTCTTAAATTCCACATATGAGTGAAATCATATGGTATTTGTTCTTTCTCTGACTTACTTCACTTAGCATCATATTCTCTACATCCATCCATGCAGTTGCAAATGGCAAGGTTTCATTCCTTTTTCTAACTTTCCATTATATATATTATATATGTATATTATATAATGTTTTCTTTATCCACTCATCTATTGATGGACACTTGGGCTGCTTCCATAATTTGGTTATTGTAAATAATGCTGCAGTAAACATAGAGATACATATATCTTTTTGAATTAGTTTTTGTATTCTTTGGGTAAATAGTAGTAGTAGAATTACTGGATTATATGGCAGTTCTATTTATTTTTAGGAACCTCCATGCTTTTTTCCACAGTGACCATACCAGTTTGTATTCCCACCAGCAGGGCACAGGTGTTCCCTTTTCTCCACATCCTTGCCAACACTTGTTTCTTGTGTTTTTGAGTTTAGCCAATCTGACAGGTGTGAGGTGGTATCTCATCTTGGCCATCTGTCTTCTTTGAAAAAATGTCTGTTCATGTCTTCTGCCCATTTTTAATTGGATCATTTGGCTTTTTGCTGTTGTTATAGAAGTTCTTTATATATTTTGGATACTAATCCTTTATTGGATATGATTTACAAATATCTTCTACCATTCAGTCCGTTGTCTTTTAGTTTTGTTGTTTCCTTTGCAGTGCAGAAGCTTTTTATTTTGACATAATAGAGTTTTTACGGTTTCAGGTCTCACATTTCGGTTAGATCCATTTTAGATCGAACAATTTCAAGTTTATTTTTTGTGTATAAGTGGTTCAGTTACATTCTTTTGTATTGTAGCTGTCCAATTTTCCCAGCACAATTTGTTGAAGAGACTGTTCTTTTCCCCATTGCATATACTCGCTTCGTTTGTCAAATATTGCCCATGTAATCATGAGTTTATTTCTGGGCTCTCAATTCTATGCCACTGAGTTATGTGTCTGTTTTTGTGCCAGTACCATACTATTTTGATTATTACAACTTTGTAGTATATCTTAAAATCTGAGACTGTGATACCAGTTTTCTTTTTCAAGGTTGCTTGGCTATTTAGGGTTTTTTGTGGTTCCATACAAACTTTACGATTATTTGTTCTAGTTCTGTGAAAAATGCTGTTGGTATTTTGATAGGGATTGCATCAGATCTGTAGATTTCTTTGGGTGGTATGGACATTTTAACAGTATTTGTTCTTCCAATCCATGAGCATGGAATATCTTTCCATTTGTTTGTGTCATCTTCAATTTCTTTCAATGTTACAGTTTTCAGAGTACAGATCTTTCACCTCCTTGGTTAAGTATATTCCTAGGTATTTTATTTTTGGTGCAATTATAAATGGCATGCATTCCTGATGTAACAACTCTCCTTGTTTCTACCTAGAGAGCTCACAGTCATTCCTTGTCTATGGACTTGGACATTAAAAGTGCTCTTTCCACTGAAAGTCGTGCCCATAGCCGTGCCCTTCAACTTGCAGCTCTCATTGCTTTAATCTCCATTCCACTTCCACAGCTATAAATACCCTGAGTCCTGTCACCAGAGTGGCTTTAGCTCAGAAAACTTCAGTTCAAAAACTGCCCTCTACCAAAACATCATTCTTTCAGCTCCCAATTCAGTTACTCCCTAAACAGCAATGTTTTATTAACTATTAAGCAATGTTTTATGTGGAGCTTCTTAAACCTGCAAAGGCTGGGAACCTATCCCCCCCTTTTTTTCTAATTTGGAAATATGTCTTTATATTTTTTAATTAACATATAATGTATTATTTGTTTCAGTTGTACAGGTCTGTGACTTATCGGTCTTACACAATTCATGGCGCTCACCAGAATACAT